CACACACCTTTGTGTCAATGGGTCATCTCTCAACTGAACAGCAACCAAAGTCCCAGAGGTCAGGCTCCTGTGGGGGGCGATTCTGCAGCGGAAGCACCATCCTTGGGGAGCAAGCACCCTGCGTGGGTATGGAGGTGCCCAGGCTGTACCTGCCAGGTGTCCCGACTGTCAGGGAATTGAGAAGAAACTGAACAAATGACCCCTTAAGTGCTGAAGTGCGTGCTGCCGAGCCTCCTGGGTCCTGGCTTTGTCTGGCCCAGCCCTGGACATTGTAGCCATGTGGAGAGTGAATCAGTGGGTGGAAGACTTCCCTCTCTCTGTCTGCTTCTCCCTCTCTGTAACTCTGTTTTTCAAATAAATAATAAATCTTTTAATGAAGAAGAATGATATAATCACTGTAACAAAATATACATGGAATTATAAACTGTTGCACCGAAGTGTCAAAGAAAACTTACAGACTGGTGTTGGCTCAGATCCATTCTTCCTGTCCTGAGCTGATTTCTTGTGCATTCTGGTTTGGGCCCTCTGGGGAAGGGGGCGTGGCCCCTGGTGACAGGAAGGCTCTGGTCCCAGGCAGGGAGAGAGCAGGCTCAGAATGACTCCCACAAGTGTCCCATTGCTGTTCTGTCTGCAGTTGGACCAGAAGAGCCTGCTGACCGCCCGCTCCTGCCATGAGTGTGGGTCCCCTGAGCTGTGTGGTCCTTTGTCTTCTGCTGGCAGGTGAGTCCAGGAAGGACTCTCCAGGCCCGAGGGACAAGCCTTTCCACGGGGGCTGCAACTTCTGCTTCTTCCTCCTCTGCAGGTCCAGCCAATGCTGGTGTCACTCAGAGCCCCAAATTCCAGGTCCTAAAGACAGGACAGAGCCTGACCTTGAGATGTGCCCAGGATATGAGCCATAACTACATGTACTGGTACCGCCAGGACCCAGGGCTGGGTCTGAAGCTCATCTATTACTCAGCTGGCCGTGACATCTATGAGAAAGGAGACGTTCCCGATGGGTACAACGTGTCCAGACCAAGCACAGAGGAGTTCCCCCTCACGCTGCCGTCAGCTGTCCCCTCGCAGACATCTGTGTACTTGTGTGCCAGCAGTTACCACAGCCCTGCACAGCCACCTGCTGTCTGCACATAAACCCAGGGCAGGCACTGTGCCCCTGAACCCAGTGACGCCCTCATCGTAGTCCCAGCACAAGGAAGCAGGAGAGCTAAATATGCCTGAGGGCACAAATCTAGGATGCTCAGACTCTGAGTCCTGTGGTTTTCATATTTCTGTTTCCAGTTACCACGACCAGAATCTCTGTCCTGAGATGGTGTGCTGAGTGCTTACAAGGGTGTTCACTTGTTGAACAAGCATAGCAGCATCCATCATGGAAGCCAGTTTATCTGTTGATATGGGAACTGCCAGCCAAAGTACAGCATGATGGTGTCTGCACTGTGTGTTTATTGCTGCACTGGTCACACAGCCTCGATGTGGAGTCTACCCAACAGTCCTGCAGCTGGTGACAGGATAAAGACAGTGTGGGACAAATACACAATGTAGAAGTCTGTCATTGCTAATTGCAGAACGGTAGAAATGTGTTAGTTCTGATGAGAATGTTAGAGTTTGTGGGTTTTTTAGAGACAAATTGCATGACATAGGGCTCATTTTCCCCTTGTGACGTCTATTAGGATTCCGGCAGAGTTGACAAGGGAGACTGATGACACTGTAATATGAAGGGTAAAGGGACTAACAAAAGTTGTTAGTTTTTTGGCAATGAGGAGAGGTGGACGTAAGTCCCTGCAGGAGATGTGGGTCCCCAACAGGACTTTGGGAGAAGGCTGAGTACATGGTTCTGTGACATCTGGTAGAGAAAAGCAGCTATGACATGCATGCCATTAGGAAGGGGTCTGGGGCATGGATACTGAGAACCAGAGCAGTTGCCTTTCCTGCCTCCTCCTCCTCTCCTGCCCTTGCCCACCATAAGCTGAGTTCACTGGGGAAGGACAGGAAGAGGAGGCAGTTAATGTGATCCCCCGGGGCAGCCCCTGCAGGCAGGGTGATCTGGAAGGATAAACTTGACCTATGCAGGGCACTACATCCCACAATGGTTCACCGTGTGCTGTGAGCTCACCAAAGTGTCTAACCGTGTCTGAGAAATCTTTAACATCATAAGTTATAGACAATCTGGGCTCTACCACCAGCTCAGAAGGGCTCTGTGTTGGTGACTTTGCATCACTGGGCACTCAGGGAGAAAAGGGGAATGCAGGGAGAGGAAGACAGAGACACCTTGGTGTGAACCCAGCATCAAGCAAAGCCCACACAGGGGATTTGATCACAGGCTCTTTGCACTCCTCTAAGGAGCAGCTGAGTGAGCTCCAGCAGACAGCATTGCAAGCAGCAGGTGGGAGGGGCTGGGGAGAGGGAGATGCGGCTTCCTGAGCAGCAACTGCCTCATCAGAGCAGCATCTGCTTCTGCCAGAGCTCCTGTGTGCAGCCTGCAGGGCACTGGACTCAGGAGGTTTGGAGGAGGACGGCGTCAGGACAGTGACATCTCAGGAGGGTCCCCAGTCAGGAAGAGACAGACTAAGACCAGCTCTTACACGAGACAGTGACTCATAAGCACAGGAAACATCGCTGCCTCCCTCTCTACTGCACCATGGGCTCCAGGCTGCTCCCCTGGGCAATGCTTTGTCTCCTGGGAGCAGGTGAGCCCTGGGGACAAGGAGGGTGCCCCCTCTCTGAGCTCCCCGACTCCTCAATCCTCCACCTCCCTTGGGCTTACACACCAAGACTCTGTCCAGTGCTCACCTCCATCTGCTTTTCCCACAGGCCCAGGGGAGGCAGGAGTCACACAGACGCCAAGACACCTGATCCAAACAAGAGGGCAGCAAGTGTCGCTGAGATGTACCCCTGACTCTGGACACGACCGTGTGTTTTGGTACCAGCAGGTCCTGGGCCAGGGCCTCCAGTTCCTCTTTGATTATTACCGAGGGTCACAGACCTCAAAAGGAAATGTCTCAGGCAGGTTCTCAGCTCTCCAGTTTTCTGACTTTAGCTCTGAAATGAACGTGAGCGCCTTGGAGCTGCAGGACTTGGCTGTGTACCTCTGTGCCAGCAGCTTGGCACAGCCCCGCGGAGTCCCCAGTGCTCTGTGCACAAACCTCCTCTCCCAGTGTGGAGCAGCCTCAGCTGACACAGCTGTGAGACAAGCCACCGAGAAATACACCTCACTCTTATTCCTAAATTCCTCTGTTTGTTTAATTAACATACTTGTGTCCCTTACTTCACGTAAGATATTGTTGACATAAAATAGAAACTAAAAATTAAAATAAAATATTGAAAAAATATGTTTCTTTCTGGCCTTGAATAAACTAGTTTATGAATTAAATGAATTTACTTTGTTTTCTCCTTTTCTACTTGACTTCTGTTGACAAGTTTTTATTTTATATTTATGACAACATTATTTGAGATTTATCATTGTGTTTGGAGTTTTAAATGAAAAATACTGTATTTTTATAGTATTTTATTTTAGCATACTTGATTTCATTTCATTTTATTTCACTGCAATGGCAAGATCTTGGCTAGGCTGGAGCCTGGAGCAGGAATTCAATTCAGGGCTCCCACACGGGTGGCAGGGATCCAAGGATGGGAGACGTCACCTGCTGCCTCCCAGGAAGCGTTAGAGGAAGCCGAGACGGGAGCACAGCTGGAATCAAACCCAGGCCCTCAAATGAGGTGCAGGCATCTCAGCCAGAGGCCGAGCTGCTGGCCTCCCATCTGCCCTGCACTGTGTCATCCACAGGCATGTGTCCTCTGTCAGGTGACCAGAGCTGGCTCCTGCTGCATACCTGGACTTCACACCTTTGCACAGGAACACTGCCTTCTTCCCCTGCCGTTTCCTGGCAACCACCACTCTGTCTCTGCTTCTGAGGTCTGAGTACTGAGAGACTTCATAAAAACGAACCTATGTGGCATTTGTCACTTTTGGCACCACAGCGCTGGCCCCGTGTTCATTTCTTAATTGAAGTGCAGCTTTCCCTCCCAGGAGCCAGTCCCCTAGCATAGCATGTCTCCTTCCCTGGAGTCGGCCACCTCTTCCCATGGTGCTTGCACATCCACACACCTTTGTGTCAATGGGTCATCTCTGAACTGCACAGCCACCGAAAGTCCCAGGGGACAGGCTGCAGTGGGGGGTGATTCCGCAGCAGAAGCACCATCCTTGGGGAGCAAGCACCCTGCGTGGGTATGGAGGTGCCCAGGCTGTACCTGGCAGGTGTCCCGACTGTCAGGGAACTGAGAAGAAACTGAACAAATGACCCCTTAAGTGCTGAAGTGCCTGCTGCCGAGCTTTGCAGACCAGCTGCCAGAGACAATCATGGGGCAGAGGACATCAACGGGATCAAAGGCACCAGGGGCTAAAGCATTTTCCTTAAGATTGGAGATCACAGAAATGTTTAGCTGAATAGAGCAGTAGGTTAGTGGGAATGATGGTTAAGTCTCCACCTGCGTCACCTGCATCTCATTCTGGTGCCAGTTGGAGTCCCAGCTGCTTCGCTTCTAACCCAACTCCCTGCTAACGCCCTGGGAAAGCAGTAGAAAATGGGTTGAGTGCTAAGTCCGTTGCACCCATGTGGGAGACGCGGAAGAAGCTCCTGGGTCCTGGCTTAGTCTGGCCCAGCCCTGGCCATTATAGCCATGTGGAGAGTGAATCAGTGGGTGGAAGACTTCCCTCTCTGTTTCTGTCTCCTTGCAAATGTGTTTTTCAAATAAATAATACATCTTTTAAAAATGAGAAATGATATCATTAATGAAATAAAATATACATGGAATTATAAACGGTTGCACCAAAGTGTCAAAGAAAACTTACAGACTGGTGTTGGCTCAGATCCATTCTTCCTGTCCTGAGCTGATTTCTTGTGCATTCTGGTTTGGGCCATCTGGGGAAGGGGGCGTGGCCCCTGGTGACAGGAAGGCTCTGGTCCCAGGCAGGGAGAGAGCAGGCTCAGAATGACTCCCACAAGTGTCCCATTGCTGTTCTGTCAGCAGTTGGACCAGAAGAGCCCGCTGACCGCCCGCTCCTGCCATGAGTGTGGGTCCCCTGAGCTGTGTGGTCCTTTGTCTCCTGCTGGCAGGTGAGTCCAGGAAGGGCTCTCCAGGCCCGAGGGACAAGCCTTTCCACAGGGGCTGCAACATCTGCTTCTTCCTCCTCTGCAGGTCCAGTCAATGCTGGTGTCACTCAGAGCCCCAAGTTCCAGGTCCTAAAGACAGGACAGAGCCTGACCTTGAGATGTGCCCAGGATATGAACTATGACTACATGTGCTGGTACCGCCAGGACCCAGGGCTGGGGCTGAAGCTCATTTATTACTCAGCTGTCCAAGGCACCCATGAGAAAGGAGATGATCCCGACGGGTACAACGCGTCTAGACCAAGCACAAAGGAGTTCCCCCTCACGCTGCTGTCAGCTGTCCCCTCGCAGACATCTGTGTACTTGTGTGCAGCAATTACCACAGCCCTGCACAGCCACCTGCTGTCTGCACATAAACCCAGGGCGGGCACTGTGCCCCTGAACCCAGTGATGCCCTCATCAGAGTCCCAGCATGAGGAAGCAGGAGACCTAAAGACGCCTGAGGGCACAAATCTAGGATGCTCAGACTCTGAGTCCTGTGGTCTCCACATTTCTGTTTCCAGTTACCACGTCCAGAATCTCTGTCCTGAGATGGTGTGCTGAGTGCTTACAAGGGTGTTCACTTGTTGAACAAGCATAGCAGCATCCATCATGGAAGCCAGTTTATCTGTTGATGTGGGAACTTCCAGTCAAAGTACAGCATGATGGTGTCTGCACTTGTGTGTTTATTGCTGCACTGGTCACGCAGCCACGATGTGGAGTCTACCCAACAGTCCTTCAACTGGTGACAGGATAAAGACAGTGTGGGACAAATACACAATGGGATAAAGACGAACTGCTGCCTGATCAACTTGGAGTGTGTTATGTGACCTGTCAGATACAGCAAGACAAATTCCACATGTTCCCTCTTACGTGTCAAAGTTACCAAGTTTATCTCACAGAGGGGGAGAGTGGAACTTGGTTACCAGAACCTGGGAAAGGTGAGTGTGAGGTAGACAAGGAGTGAGGAGGTGAACTAGTACAGGGCTGTCGTTGGATAGGAAGAATAACCTCTCATGTTCTATAGCACACAGGGTAACTCTGGTTAACAACAACTAATTGTATATTTAAAATAACTAATAGGATTTTCAGTCTTTCCAAGGTGAAGATCTGAGAAATCTCTGGTGATTGACATGCCGATTATCCTGATCTTATTGTCATGCATCACAAATGTGTATGGAAATGTCACTCTTTACCCCAAAATATGAAATACTGGAAATAGTTCATTGAAGACTGAAATAAATGACAAAGATTTTAAAAACTAAAATTCATTTCTGAATGTAACCTCCTCCACTCAAGACGCTTTGTCAACAATGATACCAGCTATGTACCCATCCCAGATGTACTGAGATCCTGAGAACTGGGCTATGCCCATGTGGTCTCTTGTCTATTATCAACTAAAAAAAACCATCCCTTTACAGATTTTTAAGATTAGGAAGCAAAAACAAGACAAAAGAAGCCAGATATAACTCTAGGTGAATACCTAATGATGTCCCATTGAAACTCTTTCTTTTTTATTTGAGGTAGAAAGAGAGAGAGAGGGAGGCATTTAGAGAGAGAAAGTGGGACAGAAAGAGAGATAGAGAGAGAGACAGAGACAGAGAGAGAGATCTTCTATATGCTGGGTCACTCCCTAAATGACTGCAATGGCTAGGGCTGCAATAGGCTGATGCCAGGAGCTAGGACCTTTTTGGTCTCCCACATCGTGCAGAGTGCCCAAGCCTTTCGGCTACCCTCTTCTGCCTCCCCAGGCAGATCATCAGGGAGCTGGATCAGAAGTGGAGCAGCCAGTACTGGAACATGCACCAGTGGGATGCGACATTGCAGTCGGTGGATTTACCTACTGTGCCACAACAACAGCACAGAAACTCTTGCATAATTGCCATTGTTTGGTGAAAGAAATGAGCAGGACCATTGTGGTGTTGGAGAAGGATTCTCTGGTGAATACTCACTGCACTTTTTCTCAGAAAGATATGGCTGACTTTCTCAAACTCTCTCCTACTAAGATGATATTCTCTGATCATTCACAAAGACAACAAGCAAAAGGACTTGAGCATTTCCAAAACTATTTCCTTAAAATTGTCCTTAAAATGTATTGAATTACTTGAAGATAGAGAAAGACAGAGATCTACCATCCCCTGGTTAAGTCCTCAAGAACATCAATAGTCAGGGATGGGCTGGGCCAAAGCCAAGAGCTTAGATCTAAAGCTGAGTGTGTCATGTGGGTTGCTGGCATTCAACTACTCAAACCATCATCTGCTGCCTCCCAGAGTGAGCACTGGCAGGAGGCTGGATTGGAAGCAGGGCTGAGACTCCAACCTAGGACTTCGGTAGGGAAGCAGGCATCCCAAGCAGCTGCTTGACAGCTGCACAAGCACCCGCTACGTGACTTTTACTTTGACGTGACCAGTACATTCATTGAAAGCCATGGCTCCAATCCAGGGTCATCCTGGTGAAACCATGCTGCACCTCCTGGTACAAGTCTTGGAGCTGCTTCAGGACCTCCAACTCGCTTGTTTGAAATTCCCTGGGAAACCCTGCTTTTGTCCGCAGCAGATCTGGGGGCAGCAGGTTTGGCTCCCAGTGAGCAGAACGTTTGTTCCTAGGTGGTTTTGCAGTCAGAACTGTGGAAGTGCATCCGTTGAGGAATCCATGCTGTGGGCTGTTGTCTCTCCTGTTAGTCATCGGTTCTCTTCAGTTAGGGGGTGAACACGATTATTTTTTCTTTGTAAGTTGAGTAGATGCTCTGTCGCTGCTTGTCTTCAGCATTGTCTCACCCCTTCTTACAGAAGTCGTCCATCTGATAACTGCTGCTTTCTCTGGGACACTGTCCCCGTGGGGTGTTTGTGAGTGCTGATGATTTTACCATTCTTCCACACATTGCACCACAGAGTTGATGTTTGCTTGCTTCAGTTTTGGCAGAATTCATGGCTTGCTCTGATAAAACTTTTCAAACTGGTGTTTGTCATTCTTAGTGCCTGAGATGACATCCTATTTAGTCATGTTATAAATAGTGATACAAGTTTATCCTGGTCAAAATTTTTCTGAAATTGCTGTGTAATTTTTTGTAATACACATTTCCAGGAATATTTTGAAAAATCTTAATATGTCAATGACTGCATATTTATATATAAAATGGACATAAAAACAGATGGATTCATAGAACCAGAAAGTTGAGTGGTGGTTTTCATTGCTGGATGTAGGGAATGTGAGATGTTGTTCAATGGGTTTTAAAATCTCAGTCATACATGATGGAAAAATTCAAGATCTTCTGCATGAGTAAAGCAATGTGACTCTAGTGAACAATTCTGTACACACTTAAAAATTGTTAATAGGGCGGCTTCCATGTTATGTATTTTTATTGCCATGGTAACAATAAAAATTAAAAACTATCTGGCATTAGATTAATTGTGAATTAACATAAAGTCTACAAGTATAATTCTGTTAGGCTATTTATTGAAATTTGATGTGAAATATGGTAAAGGTGAATACCAATTTGTTTTGAGTTTTTATATTAAATATATATTATAAATATTGCTGTTTGGAAAATGGGAAGAACATAACATGGCTATATGGCAAAGTAAGTTCTAATTTATGGAGATGGTATAGTTAGAAGGAGAGAGCCACTCACCGTATATTCTACAGCTAACGCTGGGGCTGCCCTGAGAGCACTTTCTAATCCCTTCTCAGTAAGCTGGGGACGAGTGGCAGCCTGCAGTGCAGCCCACAGTTCCTGGACTCATCACTGGAGGAGTCTGGAGACACTTGCAAACACTATGGACCCTGGAAGTTCTGCACTGTCAGTCTAGAGCTCTCGGGAATCCCAGGGAGCAACACCAGACAGTGTACTCCCACTATCACACTCGACCTTAGCCAAAAGGCTGAGATGCGACCTTGTGCTCCCACCATTAATAAGTAACTAAATTAATTAAAACAAAACAATAAAAAATAGTGATCATGAAAAAGAAATATTGGAAATAGGACAGAGATAAGATGCTACAGTTTGAAAAGCTCTAAGTGACTAAAAGGGGAACTGAAACATGACAAGGAGAAAGCCTGCTCCTAACCATCAGCAAACTTAAAGAAGCCATGGACGACACACACACGTGTGGTCACTGAAAACAAACCTAGTACATTAAATAGCGGATTAGCTGCAACCAGAGAGAACACTGGAGATGTCAAAAACAGATCTGAATTAATCACCTAGAAAACGGCACAGAAAAACACATCTGAAATATGAAAGGGAAGGCAAAGAAAGGAAAGGAGAGGACGGAGACCTCCAGTGCAATCAGAAACCACACACCACTCTACCATGTGTGATTATGCACACATACCAGCCCATTGACATCGCAGGGAAGCAGGGAGAATGACAGGAGTGATCTTATGTGTGATGTCAGCTTGGGATTTTCAGGAGATGATCAAAGATGTGAATTCTAGGTTTCAAGAATCCAGATAAGAACCAAATGAGATGTCATAATGAAATCATAGAACATGAGTGACAAAAGGACTTTAAAAGTTGTCAGAATGGACAGACAAACAGACCTCCAAGGGAGAAAGCCAAGAAAGGGGGTGAAAAATAACCATTAAGTAAACGTTACAATCCTCCTTTTCTTAAGAATGAGACAGACTGTTTTAAAACATTCTTTTAGGAATATAAATGAAAAAAACCTGAATTTCTTACTGAGATATAAAAATTCTATATTTTTTAAGATTTATTTATGTATTTGAGTGATAGAGTTACTAACAGAGTGAGGGAGAGTCAGAGAGAAAGATCTTCCATCTGCTGGTTTACTCCCTAAATGGTTCCAAAAGCTACAGCAGGGCCAAACCGAAGCCAGGAGCCAGGAGCTTCTCCTGGGTCTCCTACTTGGATGCAAGGACACAAGCACTTGGTCCATCTTCTACTGCTTTCCCAGGCCATAGCAGAGAGCTGGATCTGAAGAGGAGCAGCCAGTATACAAACCAGCACCCATATGGAAAGCCACGGCCTCAGACAGAGGCTTAGCCCTCTGCACACCACAGTGTCGGCCCCATCAACATTCTATTTTAAGGGCAGATAAAGATCCCAAAGGAAAAAAATGAGATGCAATATGTGAAGGAACCAATGGAATTTGATAGTCAGTCTGAACAGGTCTGATTCAGAGAACGGAGGTGGCTCCAACAGAAACAGGGGACCACACTAGACCCCGGGTTTCAGGGAAGACAGTGAGTTCCCCCTCCAGTGTTTCCTATTCACAGAGCCTCTGATAGGACTCGGCAGACACAGGAGCGACTGTCGATGAGAACAGAAACCTGGACAGTCACTCTGAGAACCCAGCATCCAGACAGTCCAGGGGCAGAAGGAATTATCCATGTACGGACGTCGTTAAAAGGCAGACAAGAGATACAAAAATCAATCACCCAAATGCACATGAAAAGAACCCTGTGAGGTCAGGGGATTGACAGAGGGAGTGATGTCACTGTTGTTTGGTGTTTGAGAACAAGGGGCGCCCCTCCTCCTCCTCTCTCCTGCCCACAGGACTGCTCTGCAGGAAGCTCCCATCCTGCCCCGACGGCCATGGGCA